TCACACAGATACCTGTATGAAAATTCAGAACAAATGTCTAGGATCAGCAAAACCTAGATTAAATAGTTTATCTCTTAGGTATCTTTTCTGTGGAACTCCTTTTCCATCCAAGGAAAATTATAAGAAAATACACATAAAATAGCTATCAACAAGAACAGTAATTCTTGGAAATAACTTAAGTAAGCATATGTCAAATTCTGACAAAGTACTGAATTTCAGGTGCTTACAAAGTCTTTAGGACTGTCTTTTGACAGTCTAACATCTTTAGAACTGTCACTACTACAGTGATAGCACCAACCAAGAAAACAATCACAAGAAGAAAAAAATATCTGGTTTTCCTTCTCAAGATTAGAAATGAAACAGACTATGAGTGGGGTAGTTTTAAATAATGTGGTCCAAGAAAGCAGCTGCAACTGTTGGTAAGCCCTATTATGGAAACATCTAGGTAATGATTGCTTCTCTTGATGAATTAATCAAGGTAGGGAAATGTAGAGGCCCAGCCCTAGAATCAACTGACCTGAATATTTCCAGACCAGACTGGCTTAAAGGTAAACTTGAAAGAACCAGGAAGGAATCTATATGGGAGAGGCGTGTAACCAATATAAACCTGGCAAAAACATACAAGAAATTCAGATGTTCTTGACTTTTTCCCTGATTCTAGGAAAGCATTCTGCATACAAGGCTATTCACATCTTTAAAGATAATTTTAAAGCATAAATGATTTTAGCTAATAGTAAGTGCATCGGTACTACTATGCTTTACCTATTTTTCTGCAAGATGTCTCTAATCAGTTTTCTTACTACCCCGTAAGTTCTCCAAAAAAAAAAAAAAAAAAAAACTCATTCTCTTTCTATGAGTACAACAGCCCCCTGATATTCACCACCTTTAGTACTTCCCCTATTCCAATCTATCCCTCACACTGCCACTGGTTCATTTTTCAAAGCACAAATGTGTTATCACTTAATGCCCTGAAAATTAGTTCACACTTACAAAATAAAATTATACCTATAAGCTTGCGTTAGAAGACCCATACAATCTGGACTCATACAATTTCATAAAATCTTCTCATTCCTACAACACAGACTTATATCCCAGTCATACTACACCTCTCCTTCCCAAAGTGGGTACAGTTTTACTTATACTGTCTCCATCTATTTTTATTTTTTCCTTTACCACTATGAAAATATTATGACTCTGTAATACCCTGATCATATCCAATCTCCTTCTCAAAGTCTTATCAGATCTATACTAAGCCATCATTGCCATCACCATATCCCTTCTTTAAGTCTTGTGCCATTTACAATAACAATTTCTCAAATTTCTGTCTTGCTCACCTAAATTGAATTAATGAGAAAAAAATATGATTCAGGAATGCATCTTCAGGCATTTCATAATATTGTACTATACATTGTGTTGTCTGTATTCCATACACTCTATAAGAATTCCAAACACAACAACAAAAAACTAACAAAACAAAATGTAAATGAAATGCCTCATTATCCACTTGCCAGAAAAAAATTTGTATCTTTTTATCCCTCCAATTATCCCTAAATATGACTTCCTATTTGTTTGTGTATCATACTATCTGTGATTTTAAAAGATGCAAAATTAAAACCTCAATACCTTTCAATACAGATTTAGGCAAGTAAAAAACTCATTGTAGAAAGCCTTGGGGCATTGGTTATAAGTATCTAAATTCCAAAACATTATATATATATATATATATATATATATATATATATATATATATATATGAAAACAATTAGGAACTTAATGAGAAAATAACGACTGCTATTCATTAGACACATACTATATGAAAGTCAACTTGCTAAGTATATTAAACTCAGTACTGAATTTCTTTCAAATAACAACTTTTGAAAATATTTTTCTTTCCATTCATAGACAAAGAAGTTGAGATCTAAGGAACTAAGGTAACATGTATTATCACATACATCCTAGGGGGAAAGGTGCTAGAATACAAATTCATCTGTTCATGTTCTTTTATTACTACAGAGTATCATAAAAATGATTAAAAAATACAAGTTTTCTCATTTTATCCTTGTTAAAATTTTAATTAATATAGCTTTAACCTCAAACTGCTTTCCTCAATTAAATTAGTTCCTAAACTGACTTCCTTAAACAAAAACATTGATAATATAAAACATCAAAATTCTAGTACAATATTTATTGTATGACATGCAATTTCAAAACACTATAATTAATTATTCCAAAGTGAATCAAATATTTCCCTCACAGAAAAAGAAAACTACTATACAAACTATAATTTTTATAGAACTAATTCATAAAGAATTTGTTGTACTCAAACAGGCTGTTCTTTAAGACCCCAGGAACAACCAATACCATCTCAAATAACACCTCTTTCCTGATCCTGATAGAATCCAGGCAAGAGATAAAATTGCAGCTGCCTGAGAGTGATGCCCTTTGAAGTTATTATTCCCAGCAGACTTCATTGAGACAGTCCCTGCAAGGGCTCTCACAACCATAGCTTCTTGCTTACCTTGTGTCCCTGTTTCCATGAATTTTCCCCCCAGGACCCGTTGGAGCCCACAGTCCCTTTTTGCTGGTCCATTTTCTACCATTCACTGAGCTCAAACTAGTTTTTGACTGAAACCTTGACAAATTTTCCCATAGAAAAATTTTTCAGACAGTAATTAGGCTTATCATCTGTATGGCTTGCTATTGTCCATTGATCTAAAACTGTTGCTGCTCATGGTTTTCTTGGGGGAAAACATGTTAAAAATCTCAAACAACCAATTTACACACTGCTGAAAGATAATTCTAAGGTTGTCAAGCTGCTCATATAAGCAAGAAAGGTAAAATATACTAAAAAAACACTCTAAAATACATGAGTGACTATAATTTAATAATGTACATTTAATCTTACCAGTATTTAACACACAGAAATTATTTCTTTTAACCTCAGAATTAACAAATATGCACCTACATTTTCTTTAAGCATTCCAAAACATTTTTATATATTTCATTATATATAATAATATACAATATATTCACATATAAAATATAATGGAAATACCTTTGTTCTAAAAACTCTTACAGTTGAGAGCTTTAAGTTCAAACTTAAAAGCTAGAATTTCTAAAGTTAATATTAAAGACTGTGATGAAAATAAATATAAATTATGTAAAGTAAAACTTTTTTTGTAAAGATAATATCATATCATTATAAGAAACAACAAAATGTGTCTGCCAACATTTAGCACTAAAATTTCACCCAGAATACTTTTTATAAAGTTACATTGCAGTGTTAAATATAACCAAGCATAACGGTTTTAAACAAAGAAAGCAGAAATACTATCTTCACCACATTACCTTCACCTTTTGTTTTACTTTATAGGTTTAACAATTTCAACTGGAATATTTCTCCAAATTACAGAGATAGAGAGGCCTATTATTAAATCTCTTTAATATCTAAAACACACTACAAATTAAAAAAATCATGTGTGTTAATTACAATTTAGAAGCTATTACATTCAAAGTTAACCAAGACAAAAAATATAGCAGATATTCAAATGGTCCCTACTTCCTATATAAATTAAATGTTTGTAATTAATGAATAAAAAGGTCCTCCCCATAGTATCACTAGACATTTTATACATGCAGTTAGAATGTCCACATTTTAAGAAGAAATTAACATTTCATTCATCTCGCTTTTAACCAATTTTTAAGAGATGTAAACTATGAAAATATTTTGGAATCATTCAGTTTAGGAATAAAATATTTTTTATCTGTATAATGGCTTCTACTTCACAGTACTACTCAATTTATTTCCACAAAATCTCTTGTTGCCAGTTAATTCTAACATGCAATCTAACACCAGTTTAAATTAAAATAATGTAAAGGAGAAAATGACAAGTAATCATACAATAATCCAAGGTATATTTTTTTAAAGATGGAACAGTGTTTGAAGACAAAGGCTCACCCTTGAGATTTCGAGGATTCTGAGTCTTACCTCAAAACATTCTGCTGTGAATCAAACTGGTATTCAACTATTTTAGGAGGTGTATGGGGGCCTCTACTGGAATACCACACTCATGATTAAGTGGCTAGGAAAGGATCCAACTTTCTATCACAGTAGCTGGGTTTTTGTGTTGAAATGTTGTCCACTTTTTGTAACAAAACAATATAATACCTGTGCACATCTAAGTTCTCACAGCCCAAGTGCAAAGCATAGCCAGCACAGTTTTAGAAGTAAGAACGGCGGGAAAGGGGAGAAAGGAAGTCTTTTCAGCTCGACATGGCTAAGCTTTACAAAAATCGGTCTTATAAAGTCTGGGAATCAATTTGCCTCTCATACCCACCAACAGGTCAGGTATGAAGACTGGAAAAAGGTGAAGGGTCGAAGTAAAACTGCAGTGGAGTAAGGAGAACTGAAAGCAGGCAGCAGCAATTCACCTGCACATAGATAAAAGGCTGCCAGTTCTTCTCCACTCCAGGTAGGAAGAAAAAAGAAAGAAATTCGAAGGCTGCAAAGAAATGAGATGCTATTACCAAGGGACACTTGTCTCCTGGGCAAAAGTCCCCAGAGTTAGTCACCTTGGTTGTTGTTTTCCCTCCTAAATTCATAAAAACACTGGAGTTCAACAGCAAGCCGTGGTCCTCAGCTCCACATCTCAGAGAGCAGAGGCAGCGTGGTGCAAAAGGAACGCACCGAGTCAGGCAAGGCAAACCCGCTTGTCCCCCTGTCCCGCTTCAGATTGGAAGTAAAGAAACTTTGAACAAACTCCAACACGGCCGCACCTCTGGAGCTCCGGAGGCCAAGCGGCAGCTGGGAGTCACTGGCTCGGCATGCTGGAGCTCGTTGTCCTGTCCCCTTTCCCGCCCTCATTCGGCTAGAGCCAGGTCTGGGCCCCAGGAAGGTGGTGGGGGTGGGGGCTTGCCAGGCACCATGCTCTCCCTCCCAGCCAGGATCTCCCGGGACACAGGGCTGCAGACTTCCAGCCGGTCCCGCCCACCGCACTAACCTCGCTACTGCTCGCACAGCCGCTGCCGAACACCTCCATTTCTTGGTCCCAGGGATCTTCCAGAGGAACGAATGGTAGCATCGCCGCTTCAGGAGCAAACGGAATGAGGCTGCCTGACCCGAACACCACCACGCATCCCGTCCGACGACCTGACTCGTCGTCCTCTTCTGAAGACCAAGACCAGCGTGTAGGAACCGCTGACCTCGCCAGCGGCGGGTACCTCAGAAGGTGGCAAAGAGGGGTATCTGCCCGCTGTTGGTGTGCAAAGAGAGAACACAACTCTGTGCTGCCTCCCCGCCAGCAGCCGCACGGCTCGCGCCTGCCACCCCGCCAAGCTCCGCGGGGCCGACCCCCTCCCCCGCTGCCGCCCGCGCCGCTCCCCCCCCCCTCTCCCTGGCCCCCTCCCGGCTCCCTGTGCCGCCAATATGGCGGCAGCCGCCGCGTTACCTGTGCGGCGCCTGGAAACCCCCACTGTGGCGGAGCGGCGGCGTCACCCGCACGTCAATGGAGGTTCCCCAGCCCCAAGTGGAGGGGGGAGGGTTGCGGAGGAGGGCCGGGGTGGTTGCGGGGAAGCGCGTGCTGGGGGCGGGAAGAAGGGGAGGGGGCGTGCTGGGCGGGGGAGGCGGGAGAACAGTAGTAAAGCCCACAGCTCGCGCCTGCTAAACCTGCCCACTCCACAGAGCATGCGCGATGTTCCCTACACATGCTCAGCAGGCCCTCCCAAGACTACTGAACTGCCTGGCTAGCGGGAGGATTCGCAAATAGAATGCAGGAACTTAGGGTCTCTGCAGAGAGCTTCAGGAGCCCTGACTGCCCAAGGGCCAGCTTGCTGGGACCAACAGAACACTGGCGTCTTCTAGAACCACGCCCATTTCAGTACCTACTAACAAATACTACTAGGGCGGGGATTTTAAGACAGCCACCGTGAGAAGCTAGAAGCTGCAGCAGATAATGCATTTAAAAGGCATCAGTACACCTGTGCTCCCCACCCTCGCATTGCATCTGATTTGTGTCACTTAAGATGCTCCTGAGGGTCACCTTTCAATACTAATGAGCTCACAATGGTTCAATCCCTTGTATGCCTCCAGTCAAGTGCACACAATGAATACACACATACACACACACACACACACACACACACACACACAGAGAGAGACAGAGAGAGAGCACTAAGAGGCCTCCACACATACACCCCTAGAATATGCGAGCTGTGGTGACAATAATATTTCGATCTTCTTCACTTTGTGATTTACTCCTTTGCTACTCTATGTGCTGTCCTTGGCTTTAGTAATGTAACAGAGTTCAAATTAAGTTCTATCTAACACACAGAGAGGATGATCAAAACCCTCAGCCAAACACTTTAATATTAAAGTGAAAAATTAAAAAAAAAAAAGTGTTCCACCTTTTGACGCTTGAAAGAAATTGCCACAGCAGCAAACCTAGCTCAGTACCTTCAAGGGGTTTCTAACATGCTGCATACAACACACAACTTCCTCTCCCCTTCTACTTCTAGAGCTGTTATGCTGTGCTATTAAAGAACACTGAACTGCTCCTTCCATTTATTTCACCATCTGCTGTGGAGTGTTAAGAAACCAAAGAGCCCACAAAGGTTGGCAGTAAATTCAAATGAGAATTACTAGTAATGCCCTCTAACTCTGCTTAAAATCCAAAGGAAAAGTCTCCAAGTGGCCTCCATAGTAATGGGAGCAGGGACTGTCTCTGACAGGAACTGATTGGCCAGCTCTTTAATTACCTCCCCCTGAGGGGAGAATATCCTTACCAAGCCACAGAGGAAGACAATGCAGCCACTCCTGAAGAGACCTGATAGGCTAGGGTGAGTGGGAAGGGGAAAAGGACCTCCTCTGTCAGTGCACTTGGGGAGGGACATAGGAGGAGATGAGGGAGAGAGGGTGGGAATGGGAGGGGATGAGGGAGAGTGCTACAGCTGGGATACAAACTGAATAAATTGTAATTAATAAAAATAAATTAATTTTAAAACTCCAAAGGAAAAGGAGCCCTAAAAATATGGTTCTGCAAGAGCGATACCCTTGAATGAGAACATGAGGCTTTAAATCTTGAAAGAGTGTGTGTGTGTGTGTATGTGTGTGTGTGTGTGTGTGTAATTTAAGTAAAAAGATTTATGTTTGGCAAAACTGAAATCTTAATTAAGTCCAATTCCATTGGTTTTGTTCTTAGAAATCTTCTTTCTTCCACATCACCTATTTCTCTCATACTAGATTCTTCCCATCAGCAAAACATAGTTTCTAACTTCTACTTAGTATCATTTGATGCATTTTATACTTCCCTATTGCTTTAATTATTTACTTCATTTGACCTCCAAAATAAAAGTGTACATTTTCCTCCTACATCATTGTTTTTATTTTGTTTTTGTTGTTGTTGTTGTTGTTGTTTTTGGTTTTGGGTTTTTGTTTGTTTGTTTGTTTTGTCTGATTTTGGGTATTGTGCTTCATCTTTATAATCACCAACCACTGGAACTTCAGTAGTCAGCCCCTGACTTCTGTCTTTCCAAATTTTCTAATTCTTTCCTTATCCCAACCAGATCCATGGTTTAAGTCCCATCTATATTCTGGGGATGTCCAAAATTATCTCTGATCATAGACTTTCTTAAAATCAAGTTTCCTGCTCATACCTCATTTTACTACATTCAGCTTCCACCACCAAATAAATAAATAAAATTTAAGCTCCCTATGTGTTTTATCATCCAACATTCTCTTTTGCAGATACACAATCAAACATTTCTCATCAGACACACACACACACACATATATATATACTTATTTATATATATTTATGTGTGTGTGTGTGTATAAAACTGCTCTTTAACTCTGCTTTTACTAGACTCCACTTCTCATAAGTTTTAATGTTGTAATAAGTATTTAGCCTATCTTCAATATTGTTAATGTTGCTCTGACCCCTTGGAATTGTTTCAGATCAATTCATAATGTTTTCTTGAATTAACCATATATCTCCTTAACTAATCTTCCTGGGTGTACGTTTAAGCTCATTCTTGCATGCCAATCTAGTGATCAAAAATCTTGAAAGATTCTCCATCATTGCCAGTAAAATGTCCAAATCTCATAGCTCTGAATGTAACTGTTTTGCCTTCTGTTTGCTGCCTTAATCTTAAACTGTACCATTCATGGAGACATACTCTGGTAAAATCTATGCATATTTTATGGCCTCATTTCTTTCTCAGACATCCTTATATGATTTAGTATGTTTCTTTTCTTAATTTTATTTTTCTTTTCTTTTATATTATTATCTTTCAAAAAAATTCTCAGGATCACTCTCCAGCGTAGGCTAGCTTAAATTCGGTATGTAGCACAGGGTGGCTTCCCATTCACAATGATCCAACTGTCTCAGCTTCCAGCTACTAGGATACTGAACTATATCTTCCTGCAATTTAGTCTTAAAAACAACCAATACTAACAACAACAATTTTCTAAAGTTACTATTGTATGAGTATATTGTTTTTTTCAAATTCTTTTAGCAGTCATAGAATTTCTTAAAAATATATTTTGTAGTACTCAGGAGGCTGAGGGAACAGGATTGCTTCAGTTCAAGGCCAGCAAATGCTATGGCAGCAGAGCTACATAACAAAACCTGTTCTTAAACACACAGATTTATTTTTTTATTTTTTTTCAGATTTATAAATTCTGTATTTTCAACAAAGAACCAGGAGAGGTTCAGTATTTTTTCTGTATGATATTACAGCTTTTAAATGGGAAATCTAAAGTTAAAATAGGTCTTACTGAAGCCTAGCCTATCCCACCAAATATCATGCTCTCTGAATCCTCTCTGCTATTAACGTTTTCTGTCCATAAAATCCTGTACTTGTCTCCTGCAGAAAAATTAGCTGCCCTTTTCCTGTACCTTCCATATCTTTAATTACACCTTAAACTTCCTTTTGATCTTTTAATACAGTGAATTAAAAAATTAAGATTTATGTTCATGGCAGGCAAATGGTGGGATCTAGATAAGGTCATCCTGAGTTGAGGTATCCCAGAAGCAGAAAGACACATGCAGTATATCTATCTATCTATCTATCTATCTATCTATCTATCTATCTATCTATCTAATCTATAAGTGGATATTAGACATATAATATAGTATAAACATACTAAAATCTGTACACCCAAAGAAGCTAAGCCAGAAGGAGGACCCAGGTTAGGATGATCACTCAGAAAGGCAAATGGGATGGACATCTGGAGAGGGAGAAAACAGGAAACAGGACAGGAGCCTACCAAAGAGGGTCTCTGAAAGACTCTACCCAACAGTGTATCAAAGAAGATGCTGAGGCTCATAATCAAACTTTGGGCAGAGTACAGGAAACCTAAGGAAAGAAGGGAGAGATAGAAAGACCTAGAGAGAACAGGCGCTCCACAAAGAGAGCGCAACAGAACCGAGAAAATCTGGGCACAGGGTTCTTTTCTGAGACTGATACACCAACCAAGGACCATGCATGGAGATAACCTAGAACCTCTGCACAGATGTACCCCATGGCAGCTCAGTGTCCAAGTGGGTTCTGTAGTAAGGGGAACAGGGACTGTCTCTGATATGAATTCAGTGGCTGGCTTTTTGATCACCTCCCCCTGAGGGGGGAGGAGCTTTACCAGGCCACAGAGGAAGACAATGCAGCCAGTCCTGATGAGACCTGATAGGCTACGGTCAGCTGGAAGGGGAGAAGGACCTCCCCTATAAGTGGACTTGGAGAGAGGCATGGGAAGAGATGAGGGAGGGAGGGGGTATTGGAAGGGAACCAGAGAGGCAGCTACAGCTAAGATACAAAGTGGCATCCAATGAATATGATGGATGGATGAAAAACACTTCTGTATTCTTAACAGTACACTGTGTTGAAACTGTGGACTTATATAAAACTCAGTTAGACTTAACTCTATAAAGCTTAATGGTTTTAGTTATATTCTTTTTTTTCAAAGATTTATCTATTTCATTATGTATACATTGCTTTGCCTGCATGTACACAGAAGAGGGTACCAGATTTCATTATAGATGGTTGTGAGCCATCATATCGTTGCTGGGAATTGAACTCAGGACCTCTGAAAGAGCAGCCAGTGCTGTTAACCTCTGAGCCATCTCATGGTATAGACTCACTTATAAGTGGACACTACACCTATAAGATAGGATAAACATACTAAAATCTGTACACCTAAAGAAGCTAAACAAGAAGGAGGACCAGGGGTAAGATGATCAATCCTCACTTAAAAAGACAA